GCCTTTTATGCACCCAGTCCATCCTCTTCTTCTTTGCACACATCCCACCCCTTTTCACCATTTTCCACTGGGTGAGAGCAAGGGGAAATATGAGCCTGGGCAGGGCTTATTGTGGTGGTGAAGGGCTTTGAATTTTAAATTTATGAAGAAATAATGTTTATTTTTATTTTAAATTTTTGTATGTTTACAAATTCAAAATTAAAAGACAATTTAAAAGGGAAGTAATCAAGGTGCTGTTGGGTCACGGTCACTACACAACTTTACCTGACCAAACTTTTCTTCTTTTTTGTTGGTTTTTTTTTTTTTTTTTTTTTTAAAAAAAAAAAAATATTCTACGCATGCACACATTAATGTAATGTACAAAAATAATAAAATAATAAAATGATAACAAATTACCCTTTCCTACCAATAATGCGAAAGTGCATGATGTGGTATTATTTTGAAAAATAATTCATATAAGAAATTATTTGGAAAATACATTTTAATATGAGAGTGGTATTCTTATAATTATAACTTATAATAATGAATGTTTTTGCATAGAATGAAACAATTATAAAAAGTTATGAAAAACTTCTATTTACACATTTTAAATTTTTTATAATACCTAATATGGTACTTATGAAGCAAGTTTTGCATGTGTGGGTATAATGAGATGTTAGTTGAGTACAATGGCCTTAGATAATATATTAGTTGCCATTACATTTCGAATGGCTTTAGCTAATGTAAGGATTTTATTATTAAACGGACTAACTTGTTGATTGCTAATTGGCTAGCGTAAATTGGAAAAATTATGTAATAGTATGTGATCATACTCTTTCACCAATTATTATTTATTATGTTCCTTTATGTTTCTTAATCACTTAGCATAAATAGTTAATCGGTGGTACTACATACACCAATTAGTGTAATAACTAGTGTACCAACACTAGTTATGACATTATTATTGATCTCACTCATTATACAAATTACAAATACAAAAAATATCTTAAATTATGCCACATCATCAATTAGTATACTAATTAATACACTAATTGGTACATATAGCATTATTCATAGTTAATATTCCGCCTTCTTCACCAATCATACTAGCACCACGTGTCTGTATTTTCAGATTATCGAATAATCACGAATAATATTAGATGTATCAATTGGTATACCAATTAGTGTACTAACCGATGATATGACATAATTTTAAAGATTTTGAATATTTATAATTTGTATAATAGGTGGGATTAGTAATAATATGATAAAAGGTTCGTTTGAGAAGTGGGTTGACTTTTTGATTTTTTTGACTATTTTAGCCTGGAGCTAAAAAGCTTGGTTTGGGAAGGGCTTTTGGTTTTCTTGGCTTTTTTGATTTTTTGTGAGAGAAAGAATGTAATGATTATGGGTTAGATGTGATATTATTGGGCAAAAAGCGTATTTTATTTTTTGTGACTATTTTAGCTCAAAAAATCTCAAAACCAAATTGCCAAACGGAGGCAAAATATATTGATACATTAATTAATATAACAATTAATGCATGTCGCATCACCGAATAATACCCATGCAATTGAACAATTCTTGTACAACCCCAATCAATGCTCGTCACTTTCTAAAAAAAAATCAATGCTAGACATGTTATTTAGTTATTTTTTCCTCTATCCATGTCTTCAAAAGTCAAATTCTTCCTTTTTATTTTTTTGTTGATCCCAATTAACAACAGTGGAACAATGCTATGGCTAACTTGAAATTAACTAACATGGCTAGCATTGATTGGCTAGTCTTCGAATTGGGCTATTGCACTAGCCAATTAGTAATCAACAAGATTGTTCGTTTAAGAATAAAATCTTTACCCTAGCTAACGTCCTTCGAAATGTCATGAAACCAATATATTCTACAAGTCCTTTGATATTTTGCTTTCATGGATGTACTTATTGTTGTTAGGAGGGGAGTTGCAATTTGCACACACAGTACTCTTAAATTCACTTAATAAAAATTAAATTTTTATTACAATTTGACCTTTGAACGCAATTATCATTAAGAATAAAATTACAAAAAAAAAAAAAATTAAAATATAAGTGCACCCACCTTCCCACCTACCCCACTAGCAAAAAAAATTGATTACTAACAAGTAACATCAAATTTAGTTTAGAAGGAGTTTCTTTTCCCCCCCCCCCGCCCCCCCCAAAAAAGAAAAAAAAAAAAATTTCTATTAATAATAAATACTCAGATGGGATATTCGGCAAATATTATGATTGATAATGATATGGAAAGGGATGCCGAATATAAAAATATCTATAAAAAAATAACTTCGGAAGTTGTAGTTATACTCAACATCTCATTGCACCCACAAATGCAAAACTTACTTCATAAAGTACACCATATTACAATGTATAATGTGGGAATTATAAAAATAATTAAAATGTGTGAATAGAAGTTTTATACTGTGACATTATCATTCCAAAACTTTGACTCCACCTATTATACAAATTATAAAGACCCACAATCTTTAAAATTATATCGCATCATTTGTTAATACACTAATTGATATATCAATTAATGTATATAACATTATTCAAAACCTTATAATTATAAGAATACCACTTCCATGTCAAAATGCATTTTATGAATAAGGCCAAGTTTGGCATGTGCGCAAAAAGTCAAAAAGTTACTCAAAAAGTTGAAAATTTATCACTATTCACCAAAAGTCAAAAAGCATGGTTGCACAACTCCCGATTCTAATTTTCCTCTATCCACTAACTTATACAAATTTTTAATACACATTTTTTACATATTTTTTCATAAAAAGTCAAAAGGTTAACCTGAACAAGCATATTTTTTTTTCTCAACTTTTTAGTTTAAAAAGTCAAAAAGTACACTTATTTAGGGCATTTCAAATAACTCTTAAATTTTTATATGAATTATTTTTCAAAATAATACACATCATGCACTTTCGCATTATTTGTAAGAAAGGGTCGTTTGTTATCATTTTATTATTTTCTGTTGTTTTTGTACATTACATCAACGTGTGCCCGGAATAAATTTAAATAAATCCAAAAAAAAAAAAAGAAGAAGAAGAAGAAGAAGAAGAAGAAAAGTTAGGTCAGGTAAAGTTATGGAGTAACCATGACACCTTAAGAGTCTGCATCTTGAAATTTAAAGATACAAAAAATTAAAATATAAATAAACATTTTTTCTTCATCAATTTAAAATTCAAACCCGTTCATCACCATAGTAAGCCCTTCGCAGGCTCCTACTTCTCCTTGCTCTCACCTAATAGAATTAAGATTGCAAATGAATTAAGTTATTCACGAACAGGCTCGATTTAACTCGTTAAGGGCTCAACTCGTTTAGTAAATTAGTCAAACTCGAGTTTGAATATTAAGCTCCTTTAATAAACGAGTTGAGCTCAACCTCAAATAAACTCAACTCGTCTTTGACTCGTTTATCTTTATTTGAATTATATAATAAATATATTATTTATATATTAAATAATATAAATAATATTTTTTATTAAAATAATATAAATAATATTAAAAAAAGCTTATCAAGCTGAGCTAAACCGACCTCAAGTTTCATTAATATTAATGAGTCAAGTTGAGTTCAAACCCAATTACTTATCGAGCTGAGTTTGAGTTCAATAAACGAACTCAATAAGAAAATGAGCCAAGCTCGAGCTTAAGTTTGATTCAACTTGACTCGTTTGCAACCCTAAATAGAACTTCTTTCTTTACGTTTTTTCTTTGAAAATGGTGGAAAAGAGTAGGGTGTGCGCCAAAAAAGAAGAGATATGGAATGGGTGCATAACGGGGGAGAGAATTAGTGCAAGAGTTGTTGTAAGAGGAAGGGGTCGTAGGTTGTGTGATTGGAGACGAGATGCAATGGGTCAGAGGGAAGGTTTTGAAGTGACCGGAACGAGTTCTGACATTGTTAAGTTTATAATGGATTATAAGAGGATGGATAGATAAAGAAAAGTTTGAATGGCTTCGTTTAAAAGTTAGGTTGGTTTTTTTTATTTTTTTGACTATTTAAACTCCAATTAAAAAGTTCATTTGGGTTGATTTTTTTGATTTTTTGATTTTTATGAGAGAACAAGTGAAATGATTATGATTTAAATCCGAAATTTTATTTGATTGACTTCTCTATTTTATCTTTTTGTAATTTAAGCCAAAAAGCCAACCCAACTCGTATTCCAAACAACACCATACTCTTTTTAATTTTTTAAATAAGAATGAAACAATAAATAATAAATAAAATACAAATTGATGAGTGTAATGAGTTACTTTTGTGATGTAAATATAAATAAGTTCTAATACGTAGTCTCAATCAACACTGTCTGATTCTCAAAATGAATTATCAATTCTAGAGGCCTATGATCATCTTAATTATTATCATACATATATTTTATCTTTACCATACTTAAGACTCATTTTGGGAAGTGGGTTAAAAATCACTTCAAATTTTTTAATCCACTTCCCTCTCTCACAAAAAAAAGTTAAAAAAAATTAAAAAGTAACTTTTAAACATCTTTCTAAAATACCCCTTAATCATAACACACATTTTAAATTTGACTATAAATATTAAAAAAAAATAAAATTAATGGATATGCAGTCAAACTTATACAAGCCACAATGTCTTTTTTTTTTTTTTTTTTTTTGTGAGAATTATTCGTTGCTTTGTGAGAATTATTCATTGCTCCCAATGTAACAACCCTCACTTTGCCCTAGTCATGCTTGCATGCATTTACATGATTCTGGCTTGTTAAGTTTGCATCTATAGACCTTGATTTGTCTTGTTTAAGTGTTGCTTGCATGTTTTGTCCTTTGCTTGGTGTGTAGAGCCGAGGTCATCTAAAGCCTAGGTCACGCCTTTGAACCTTTTATACCTAGGACCATCTTGGAACCACTTTGGTTGACCTCCACCTTCGCCCTGACATATTGGCCGAGATGTCGTCATCTAGGCCGAGGTGTACGTCTCCCAGGCCAAGATGTGTTTCATCTAGGCCGAGATGTTACCATTTAGGCATCTTAGATCTTTGATCCTTGCACTTAGTGATCTTGTTCTGGACCGGTATAACCTAGGTCGAGGTGTGACACACCCAGGCCAAGGTGTGGCACATTTGGACCATGTGTTATCCTTTCTAGCCGAGATCATTGAGACCCCTTTTGCCGAAGCCGATGTTCTAACCCGAGATCCTCGCCTTGCCAGAATGCCTACGCCACCTTGTTATACACACCTTGTCACACTTTTGTCTTGTCATTTAGTCACTTTTTAAAGAAACCCAATCCGTAGTGCCACGTGTCCCAGCAGAGGGTTAAGTCAGCCGGCAGAGAGAGAAAACATATCATTGTGTGTCATATCTTTTGCATGGTGGAGAGAGAAGCTCTAGGAAGAGGAGAGGAAATTAGAGTGAGAGAGAGCTAGATCCCAAGCTTGATCTTTAGAGTTTGAGCCGTTTGATTCGTGTTTTGAGGTTAGATTCTTGATCCACTCTTGTTGTTCTTTGTATTGATCCGATCACATTGCATGATCTAGCATGATTCATGAGCCATGCGTTGATTTAAAGCTTGTTTTAGAAAGAGAAAATGATGTTTTTGTGTTCTTGAGATAAAGCCATGTTTTGATCCGAAAGTTTGTATCAAGATCCATGTTTTTGTGTTTGTTTTCATAAGATCTTCAAGTATAGGTACCCAGGTCCATGTTTTCGAACTCATCTCATGAAATCTCGGATTTTGAATAAAGAAGTTATGATTTTAGCATTCATGTTCATGTTCTTCATATTCTTCAAAAGAAACCCAGATTTTCTAGACTTCATTTCCCTAAATGTGGTCATCGGGACCATACCTCGGCCAAAAGGTGTGGGACCTCGGCCAAGACCTGGTTGGTACCCAGCATGTCTTCCGAGATGAAAAACAGTGTTTGACTCCCAGCACATGACTGCTTTGTTTTGACTTTGTTTTGAGAGAAATGCCGAGATCATTTACACTCATACAAAGCTTGTTTTAGGAATGCATTTTATACCTATCTTTGAGCATCCTTTCCCTGTCTTCTTGAAATGCATTCAATGGGATTTATTATATACTTGTAGGCCTTGGATCCTTGCTTGTAATCCCCACACCCGAAGAGCTATGTGAGTGGTATTTTAATAAAGTTATGTTATAAAGTTTTGATAAAGCTTTGCTTGGTTTTGGAAAAGTATTTGATCAAGCATGAATGATTATTCCTAGTTTGTAACAAGTATTATATTTGTTTTGATGACATTCTTTGAAAGTCCTTAGTGCTAGGGGACTATAATGCAACTAGTACCCTTGTTTTGAAAGTCCTTAGTGCTAGGGGACTATAATGTAACTAGTACCCTTATTTGAGATATCTCCTTTGCCTTGCCACAGACGGTTTACCGCGTGGGTTTTTCCAGAATGTCACCCCTTGTATTATATTGATGCTAGTAAGCATCCCTTGAAGCTTTGAAAGATTTGACAGATGAACTTGGTTCTTCCTTTGATTTTGTACAAGATATGCTATGTATTGTTTGATAAAGCTCTTGAATATCAGTCATGCAAACCTTTATTTCTAATATCATTCACTGAGTATCCAAGTTCACCCACTCCTTATATATATGTAGGTGACGAGTAAGAAGGCAGTGATGCCTAGATGATTATTTGCGACTTGTTTTCGATTCATATTTTGTAGCATCTTGAAGATTATGCTTCTTGGCTTGGTTGTTGTATTTCTTTTGTATATGTTGGCTTGAGAAGCCTTTTGATCAAGATGTACTATGTATTTATTCTATTTGTATTCAAGTTGTAAACCACGTTATGTATGACATTTCATTTGATCTATGCATAACTCTTATGGACTATTTAGATTTAAATTTATTGCTTCCGCACATGTAAGCCCCATATGTATTCTCTGATTGTATGTGAACTTAGTAAGTTGGCCTTCAATAAGCTCGGATTACTGGCCATCATGGCACCATTCTACTAGGGACGGAATGGGGTCGTGACACCCAAGGCAACATGTCACATGTGACAGATAGGTGGTGCCTCACACCAATGAAAATGTGCCAATTAAGCTAGGTGTCAGTGGATCATGGTAAGTCAGCAACTAATAGTAAACTCAAACTTATTCTAAATGGCAACATAATAGTAATAGACTGATGGTTAATGCGTTAAACACTTGCTCATGTGACATTTTAAAGTGTTTAACATCTTAAATGTTTCTCCATTATTGCAAAGTTGCCGTTTGAAATGAGTTTGACTTAATTACTAGTGACTTACTCATTACTGACACCTAACTTAGATGGCACATTTATATTTCTTGGAATTTTCAAAGCCTTAGTTATCATGCTTCCCTCTATAAGATGTGCAGAACTCGTGTTTTTATCAAATTCTTTGTGTTTTATTTTTATTTTTATTTTTTTAGGATACTCAATTGTTGCTTTGAATTTGCATTTTTTAAGCATGGCTGGTATGACGACCTATGCTGGTTTTTATGAGCTATGCTCTCCTAAGCAAGGAGAGTATGTTTTTGTTACAGCTGCCTCTGGAGCTGTTGGTCAGCTTGTTGGGCAGTTTGCAAAGTTATTAGGCTGTTATGTTGTTGGAAGTGCCAGAACCAAAGAAAAGGTGAATGCCCCTCCACATTCCATTATGCTATTCATGCTAAAATAACCAGTTAGTGGTTGGCCCAGTCAGAACTATATTGATTGCTCAATCAATGTATGTGGTCTGACACCTTTTCCTTAGCTAGCATGTTTGCAGAACTCTCACAAATTTTGAAATTTTAGCCAAAGAATAATTTATGCTGGGTTAGAGCAAGCATGGTCACTGACTCTTCTTTTTTTTTTTTTTGTTCTTTTGTTTCTTTCTTTTACTATTTTTCAACCAAGGTTGATCTGTTGAAGAACAAATTTGGGTTTGATGAAGCTTTTAACTATAAAGAGGAGGACTTGGAAGCTGCTCTAAAAAGGTGAGCATTTCATGTTCTTGTATAGAAATGCATAACAACACTAAAAGATTTAGAGCCTGAGTACATTGCTGGATGGAATGGCTGCTAATATGGACAACCTTGTTCAAGGAATGCCCCTTCATGAATAAAGCATGAAATTCTACAAGCCACCTTTTGACTTACCTTGTATAAAATAGATGGTGTCCAAAACTCAGCTCCTTGGGGTTGTTTGTTGAAGATTACATTTCTCTTTTCTTTTCTTTTTTTGAAAACTAGAAACTAAAACTTGTTTGGTTTATTGTTTTCATTTACAAAAAAATGGAATTGATTTTAAATTTCACTTTTTTTGGAAATGAAAAAATGGTAAAACAAGTTTTCATTCTCTCCTCCTCCTCCTCCACGTCTAGCCACCATCCACTGCTGCCACCACCCACCTACCAGAAAACAAGGAATTGGCAACGTTAGCAAACAATATATTTCTTCATAAAAGTGTTGGTCTTTTTTTTTTTTCTTTTTTTTTAAATCTCAATTTTCCCAAATTCAATATCTTCATTATCTACCCCTCCGATTAAACTTCTTCTTAGGTTCTTTCCGAATGGAATCGATATTTACTTTGAAAATGTTGGAGGAAAGATGCTTGATGCTCTCAACATGAGACTTCGCGGTCACATTGCTTTGTGTGGTATGATCTCACAGTACAACCTTGAACATCCCGCAGGTGTTCACAATTTGTTCTGTCTTATCACAAAACGAGTCCGTATGGAAGGATTTATAGTTCATGATTACTATCACATGTATCCGAAGTTTCTGGACATGATCTTGCCCCACATAAAAGAAGGAAATATCACATATGTGGAAGACATAGCTGAAGGCCTAGAGAGTGCCCCAGCTACTCTTATTGGGCTTTTTGCCCATCACAATGTCGGCAAACAGGTAGTGGTTGTTGCTCGTAAATGATGATGTTGTTGATGTCCTGGTAAACCCTAATGTAAATTCTTAATATGCTTTGACTAAACTTATTAGAGAAATGGTTTCTTATTGGGATGATGTTGCTAGAAGCTATTTTTTTAAGTTTTAACCAATGTATGAGTGTGAAGGAAGTGTGAATGTGAGTGTGAAGATAAGTGTGACGGGTTGTATATGCTTTGCCCTATTTGTTTCCCAGTTTGTGAACTCTGGTAAGTTTCTTCATTACTCTCTACTTTTGGTTTAATAAATATGAGTGTGACGTTTATTTATTATGCTTTTAATTTTTGATATACGAAAATTAATGATAATTTGCAATATATATCTGATTTAGAAGAAGAATTCAATCGCTTAAGAGTACTATTATCAATCACTTCCGGTCAATCTATCATTACTTATAATCGAATAATTTTTACTATTAAAAGACGAATCAAGGTTGAACAAATTTTTGTAAAGCGTCTCCAAAAATAATTATAATATTTAATTTTGATTTAATTTTTATCACTAGGATAAGTACCATGGGCCTTATTTGGTACCCTAAACTGAAAGTATTTATATTTCTTAGTTCTGTTTGGGTATTTTCTTCCCACTTTCAACCCTTAAACACTTTCTTTGTTTAAGCGACTGAATGAAATGACATTAACATTCCTAAAACTATGAGTCTTAGAATATTGTGGGTGTTTGGTGTAATTTAAAAATAATTTATTTTAACTATTAGCTTAATTTAAGTTGAAATGGTGTGTTTGATGTACCTTACAAGGTTGCAACTTATAACTTATTGCAACTTAAATGTGAAAAAAAAAAATTTGATTTCAAAAAGCATCTCAAGGGGTGCTTTTCAAATTCAAATTTTACGAGAGCTTCTATCTACACACACCAAATCCCCTCTTTGCACATCCTTCTCATTACACACACCAAAAAAATTAATTCCTAATTATTTTACTCACTGCACACACATTTCATTCCACATCTACCCTCACACACACACATACACACACACACACACACCCAGACCGACCCTCAAACCCAGCTCTCCCAACGATGCAAACACACCCCTTGAAGTTGCATCTCTAACATTGCTCTCCCAACAATGCAAATACACCGATTGAAGCTGCGCTGTATCTCTCACATTACCTTCTTCACACATTACCCATCTCTCCTCGTAGCTCCCTGCTTCACACAGCTTTCATCCCCAAAGAAGCATTGAATTCCAGCACATTTTCAATCCTCGTTCGTTGTTAGGTTAGTTTACTTTTCAATCCTCATTCCTATTTGAATTTGTAATGTAGAGTTTTGTATTAAACCATTTTCAAAGCGAACAAGTTGTTCAGAACTGGTTTTCTGAAATGGAACAATTTGTTCGGACGTAGAAATCCAAAAATAATCAATAATTTCAACAGTAGATTTCCGAAAATTGTTCATTGCTTCGACAGTCAACTTCCGAAAATTTTGAATTTGGACAACACTCAACTTCCAAAATTAAGTTTTAGTTTCGGTTTTCTACTTCCGAACAAAATATGTAGTTTCAATTTTCAACTTCCGAACAGTTTTTTTTTCTTTCCCCCCCTCTTTTGTATATTCTTGTTTCAATTGTATAGTCATTAAACATATTATTTTTTGCAGATAATATGGATTCAGAATGTCAACAATGTATCCCACCTACTGCTTCAAATAGATGACGTCGTGAATTGGATGTTGACCATGAACGGGACGAGGGCGTGGGCGAGGACGAGGTCAAGGTCGTGGTCGAGGTCGTGATATAGTTTCGGTAGAATATGATATCCCTAGTGCCAGTCAAAGTCGAAGCGGAAGCCAAAGACGAGTTCAAGGTTATGATATGGTTGACATTGCTACGAAGGATGCCTCTTTACCCGATTCTCCTACTGTCCAGGAAGAGGACCTTACTCATGCTTTTCTAGGTGGACCGACTGATCCATCAATACTGCGGAGTTTCAATAGTCATGTCGCTGTAGCTGTTTGGCACGGGGAGGTAAACATTTCTGAGTAAAAGTGAAATTCATTTGTATATGATTTTTTTTTTTTTTTGTGTGTGTTGTATGGTAGTTTCTAATAAGATATTATTTGTGTTATAGGAACGAGGTCCCCTAAAGTGTCATAATCACTCTTCGAAGATCCTTGCATGGCTATGGTGGTCAATAGATAACAACACCAGATTCAAAGCCATGATTGAGCAGTCTGGGCTGACACAGTTAGCTCATTGCACTTATCGGTTCGTCAACAAGCTTCTAATCTCCAGTTTTGTTGAGAGATGGCAACCTGAGACGAACACATTTCACATGATAGTTAGTGAGATGACCTTGATCCTAGATGATGTTGGCACTATTCTTGGCCTTCCCATTGTAGGCAAATCAGTCAGCGTACCAGATGTGACAGATCATCATGGAGTTACACTGCTGGTTTATCACTTGGGGATTACTGAACGTGTAGCACATGAAGAGGTTTCTACTTCTGGTGGGAATTCAGTCAGGCTTGAGTGGTTGTGAAGTCAATTTGTTGGTGTCACAAATTCAAACCCAGAGGAGGCTATACAGTGCGCTGCTAGAGCTTATTTGTTGTTTTTGTTGGGATGTACACTCTTCAGTGACAAGAGTGACGGCAGGGTTCCTGTTGTTTACCTTGGCTTATTGATGGATTTGGGATCCATTTATACTTACGCCTGGGGTGCTGCTGCATTAGCATTTTTATACAGATAGTTGGGGTATGCTAGCCGGTCCGGTGTTAAGCAGATGAGTGGTTTTATGACTCTTTTGGAGGCATGGATTTATGAGCACTTCCGAGCATTCCGACCTCATCAGAACATGGGCTACAATTAAAACATGCCACACGTGTACCATTGGGCATCTAGGAGAGAGGCGGGTTCCTCCATTGATCATTTGAAATCTTTTCGAGTGGAGCTTGACAGTTTTGTAGCGACTGATGTAAGTTTACTCATCCTCAGATAATTTTAACACTTTCTATTTATCTTACCCTTCATATACTTTAATTCAAAAACACTTTACGTTTACAGGTTATTTGGGATGCATACCACAGTTGTAGAGACCGGCATCCATGTAACCCGGTTACGTTCTACCATGGATGCTTAAAGTGCTTAGATGTGGTCGGGCCCTATCATCTAGATAGAGTTCTGAGGTAGCTTGGCAGGGTTCAAACCATCCCAGATGCACCGCTAGCTCCCAGTCATGGTGCTCGAGGCAACATATCTGCACGATATACAGTCATGTATAGATACTTGGATAGGATCTGGGAGGCTTGGGATAACCACGTGTTATCTGAGCAGCGTAGGAGCACACCAGTTCGTCAGCCTTGGGAATGTGTACCGGGTTACATGGATTGGCATAAGAATATCACGCGCCTATATGTTGAGCACACTGATGAACCGTGTGTCATTGACCATCAGGATTTCAGCCAACATGCCGATGCAATATATTATCCTCGTTTATGCATTTGTAACTTACTTTTTATTTTCTTATATGTTCCCTAAAATGTGATATTGTTTTCAAATGCAGTGTATTGCACATGCACTGCAGATTGCACATCCTATTGTTGAGGTTGGTTATGAGGAGGGGATTCGACATCCTCATCGACTTTACCAGGCTATCGAGACTATGACGCATGTCCTTGAAGGTCAGCACATTGACGAAGCTGGACCTAGTTCTGTTGGACCTAGTTATACTGGAGGTTGCTTTTCATCTCCGACATTGACATACAGTCGTAGGCTTGGCGCAGGCATATAGCTGATTCGTGACATGTTATTTGTTAGTTGATGAATTTTTTTGTGGTGTTTTTTGTAAGATGACATTGTTGTAATGCTAACAGTGGTTAATATTTTCTTATGAGAATGAAATGGTAACAATGGTCGTTGATTTTGTAAATGATATTTTGTTATTAGAATTGAATGGTAACAATGGTCGATAACATTCAATCCATGCCACAGAACACATCAACATCAAAAACATATCCATTAATTTCTTCCATAATTGTAACATTGTCGAATGCATACATGTGTCATGCGATATCAACAACATCAAATGTCTCTCGAGTAGCTACAGTATCATGAATAATGTCCTTGAAATGCTGAATACGGCGCGCATATGCATCATCCCAGTCGACAGCACAAGGGTGCCGGTATTTTCGCCAATTGGTGGCTATAAGAGGAACTGAATGGCCTAGCTACAAAAAAACCTACACCAAATGTCAATTGAGTTAGTGGTCATACCTCATAACTGCTTGTGCATGCACAAATTGATAAGTTTCTGTTATACCTAGATGAAATGATTTCTGTTGACAAACCCAATGGCAATCTCACGTCTATCAAGTTGAGGTACTGGCACTATTCTAAGAGGTAAAAAGGTGAGACATTGCTGTAATGACAAGTGGTATAACACAAGATTGTAGCAAGATGCAACAAGATGCCCCATGTCTGGCATTGGTATCCAATGTGAGTATCCAGGATTGTCTTCAAAGTATGACAATATGCTTGTCAATTCTTCAAACCTTTCGTAGGACCCATAAAGTGTAATGTATTCCTCTTTGTGTGTGCAGCTCACCCAACAGATCACACCTAACCTGAGCCCAATCATCTTCTGTATGACCAATTGAAGCAGCTATAGCCCTAAAATCACAATTCCCATCTGCAGCTACATCCTTGACAAACTTAATGTATGGTTTTAACCCAGAAGGGAAAACATCAACATATGCACTAGGTTTCACTGTTCTAGTAATGTATACCTTCCCTTTCGCATTCATCTTCTCCTTTCCCTTAATAGGTCGTTTCTTCTTGGTTTCCAGAGTAGAAGCCAATTTAGTGATTTGAGTGTCCCTAGGTGAGAAGAAATCATGTCTAGATTGCACCAAATCAAATGTACGCGGGTCACGACGGGTAGAAACATTGATCTTCTTATGATCCCGAGGACGTATTTTGGGCTTCACCTTCCGGCTCAAGAAGAAAAATGCTTCCTGGATATACAATCTCTTTCAACTTCTTCAAAAGGTCCAACCGCATGGTTCTATCACTTTCATTAAACTTGTTCACAAACAACTCTACTTCTGCATGACAACTAACCTCCGTTTCCTCTTCTTTGTTGCATATGGAGATATGAAGTTGCCTCCACTGTGAGTGTATGGTAGCAAGTGGTATAGGACGATCTTGTCTGATGTAGTCAA